CGGGCGCCGAGTCCTCACAGCTGGGCAGAAGTGAGCTCGAGCCCCGGGGGGTGCACTGCTGGAGCGGGCCGGCCCCAGGGTGGACGGCGCGGGCAGCGAGCAGCGGGCACCAGAGTCTGTCTCGGGGTCCTCAGGCGCCCGCCATTCTGTGTGGGCTGAGCCCGGCGTGGGATGCATGCCTGGGATCCCAGTGCTCTGGGAGGCTGAGGCAGGAGAGTTGCAAATTTGAGCCCAACCTGGGCAACCTAGTGGCTTAGGGAGACCTTGACTCAAAGTGAAAAATAAACGTAAGCAAAGGGCCAGGGCCGGACAGAGTGTGGAGCTCCTGGAAACACGATGAAGAGCCCGCGACTCACCCCAGGCCCAGCAGCCGTGGCGGGTTTGAGTCCTGCCGTGGACATGGACACGGGGCAGCGGAGGGAGCCAGGAGAGTCACGATTGCGCCTAGGCTCTCAGTCCTGACACCGCTGTGCGTCACCCCCCCCCCATTCCACTGGGGAAACTGAGGCACTCCGGGCCCAGGGGCAGAGCCAGGATTTGGAGCCAAGCCTCTCTGGCTGACCCCAGCCCACAATGCAGATAAAGTGAGGACTCCCATTTTGTAGATGGGAAACCGAGTCTGGAAACGACTGAGCCCTGGCCTGGGGGCTGGAGGCAGTGACTGCTCAGCCACTGCACTGTGGCCCCGCCTGCCTCAGCCTTCTGAGTGCTGGGTTACAGGTGTGGACCACCACGTCTGCTTAGCAAAGGAGGAGATTTCTGACCGGATGGGGAGGTGGCCTGAAGGCCCCTCTGCAGTCTGACTGTCTGAGATGTTCCCATCCTGGCCAGGGGGAGGGCTGGGCTTCCTCCCCTGGCACCCGATCCCCTGGGGGCTGCATGGTCCCCTCCGGGGCAGGCCCCATCCTGCCTTGTCCCTGCCATCCAGGGCCTGAGCCTTCGGGCTCCTGGTGAGTTTCCAGTGACACCTAGCGCTCCTGGGGGTGGGGTGGGGCTTCCTGACCTGCTTCTGGCCACTGCTTCCTGCTGGCCGCCTCCTGTCTGCCGAGCTGCAGCTGGACAGAGGCCTGGGGCAGAGACCTGGGGGACAATGGGGAGGTGGGGACATCTGGACAGGGCCCTTCCCTCTGCCCGGAGCCTAGTGGGGCAGCTGCACGCTCCCTGGCCTCCTGTCTCCTCTCTCTGTGAGGGTTACAAAATCCTGACTTCATCTCTCAGCCCTGCCTGCCAGGCTGGCCTGACTCAGGTTCGGTGTGGGGCATTCCCTGAGGCCCGTCCATCCATCCATCCGAAAGGGCCTGGGTCTTGGTGCTTCCAAAAGGCTTGGGAGCTCTGGTGCCGGCACCTCATTTCCCATAGTGTCTTCTCGGGGAGCCTGCCTCCTGGGACCGGCCCTATTATGTGGTCCTAAAGGAAGCCCCAGTGCCTCTGGCTGCAGACCTGGGTCCTGCGACCCTTGGGGAGACAGACATGAGACCTGGTAGGTTCTGAGTCCTCCTGTGTGGATGGGAAGCTGATTCTCAGAGAACAGGGAAAGTTGAAGCGAGGTAGTCATTCACACCCTAGCTAGAATGCCGGTGACCCTCCAGCACTCTGAACAACAGCAGCTTCGCTCTGTCTCTGCCTGGTGGCCCCGGTGAGCGTTCTCCGGGTGCCCGAGCACTCTGTATTTATTTATCACAACAGCTTCATCTGCTCCCACCTCTAGTACAAGATCGCAGAGGTTCTGGGCCGGGTCTGGGTGGGGGGAGCGTGGCACCCAGCTGTGGGGTGAACGCCTTAGTCTTGGGATGGGGCCGACTCAGTCCTGCACCCCAGGCCCAGGTTCTCCTGCATCTGCTGTCCCCGGAGGCACCAAATGTGGTGGGCGGGGCGCTGGTCCGTGGCCAGGGCAGCTGACCATTTGTTTGTGCGTGTGTCCCACCCTCTCCCTTGGAGGACGAGGATGGGCCAGCTGTTAGGGACACAGCTGCCAAAGTTCAAAGCTCCCTCGAGGTGTGAGGCTGAGGAGGGGGAGGTGAGAAGCAGCGCTTTGATGTCCGAGGGGCAGGGCAGGCCGGGGCTGTACTGGTGGGGTCCACTCACCCTCCCGGGGAGTCAGCCGCCCTCCCTGTCCTCCCAGGTGTGTATCCAGACCCTGCACACCCATGCGTGCACGCGGGGCTTGCAGTCTGTCTGCGGCGTGCTCAGACCGGGGCTGGCCAAGGCCGTGAGCCCCGACTGCAGAGGACCCGAAGCCCGGCTCCTGGCGGGGGGTGCTTCCTCCGGGAGCCCCCCCTAGGCTGGTGTGACCCTGGGGACTTGGCTCCACCTCGCTCCAGGAGCAGCAAGCCCGCCCTTCTCCAGGGCTGCTTCTATCACTTTCATTCAATGCATACTTTTGAGGGGCCAGCTGTGGGGTACAGCCTCGGGGTGAGGGGTCCCCCGTCAGGGTTCACCCATACACAGGGTCTTGGGAGCCCTGGGGTGTCTTGGCCTTTGACCTGTGCTCCTGGGGACCGGGGACCCAGCTGGCTGGTTGTGCCCCTTGGCTGGGGACCGGGTCTTATCAGCCCTTCCTGCCGCCCGGCTGCCTCCCTGGGAGGTTACAGCTTCTCCCTCGCGGGCAGGAAGCCTGGAAATCCAGGCCGGAGGACTCAGAGCCCCATCTGCAGCGGGGGACAGAGACGGGGCTGGATTTGAGGGACCCTGTCCGCACCTCTCCGTCCACATCCCGAGTCAGAGCTGGGCACACGAGTCTCGGGTCCTTCTCAGGGAGAGAAAGCTGCGGCCACCGAGAGGCCACTCTGCCCACCACAGGCACAGCAGTGACAAGCAGGGGACCTGGGTTGTTCCCTGGGGCTCAGACCCACAAAGCCCCGGCTTGGGTCCTTTACTTTGCCAGCTGGTGCCCGGCCACGAGGACCTGGCTCGGGCCATGGCCCTGACTCTGACGTACAGACTGCTGCCTGGCTCGACCCTGTGCCCATCTGACCAGGGCAGGAAGCTCTCCAACTACAGTGGACCATGAGTTACGACTGGCCTGACATACGAACAGCTCAGGCCATGGCCAGAATTTCAGTTTTAACTTACAAACAAAGTCTTGAGTTACAACCTGAATGCTGGCCACTTGTGCTTCCAGATGGTCTCAGATACAGATTTAACCCTTAAAGAGTTCTGGAAGGAACATGACAGCATCCTCTCCTGTGTGGGGTTCACTGAGAAATCCTGGGCAGTGTCTCTCCAGGGATACTGAGATCTGCCTGTGTACAGAAGAGACTCTGGAGCAGCCTGAGCCTTCACAGACCAACTTCAGTTACAGTCAGCCCTTGGGAACCAACTGAGTTTGTAAGTCAAGGGTCCCCTGTACTGGGTTCGAGTCTCACTGGGAAGTGCTGATTTTAGAACATGGTGCCTGGCTTGTCCACGGCCTGACAGACACCCACCCTCACGTAAGGAGAGGGGAGTATTGGCTCCGAGAGAAAGGAGGTTTTGTTTGGGGCTGCAGATCTGGCTCTGAGGAGGAGCAGCCAGGGCCCTTGGCCTGGGCCCTTCGCCGCTCTGTCTTGGGCCCTCATCTCTGACCTGAGCTAACAAGAGCACCCATCGTCGACTGCGCTGACGATCAAAAGAGATAAGAAACACGTGTGACATGTTTAGAAGACTGCCTGGCACTCAGTATGTGACCAGTGCACGGTGCTTCTGGTTTTTGGTTTTCTGAGACAGGGTCTCGCTTTGTAGCCCAGGCTGTCCTCAAACTTGCAGCGATTCTCCTGCCTCAGCCTCCAGAGTGCTGGGATTTCGGGCACTTGGGCTTCAATGTGCTACGCATGCTGGATTTCATTTCTCTTTCTCTGCATCGTCTGTCCCTCCCTCCTTGTCTGTCCCCTCTGTTTGTAAAAATATGGAATGATTTCCCCAAATTTATGACTCTGGGAATGTCTTATAAAAATCCAGAATCAGCAGGTACCTTGACGAACCCTAAGGCATGGGAAGGGAACGCTGGCTCCACGTCTCCACCGGCAAGGAGACTCCTGCTGAGGAGGAACTTGTTTTGTATTCTGTTTTCTTGTAGCCTGGGTCTCCCTATGTTGCCCTGGTTGCCCTGAATTCCCAGGCCCATGTGATCCTCCTGCCTCAGCCTCCAGTAGCTGGGACTGCAGGCACACACCATGCACAGCGGGTGCTGGCCTCCTTTGGAGAGGTGCCCACCGCATATTCCGGCTGCAGGCCCCTCACTTCTGCCCGCTCTCTCTTTCTCCTTTTGGCCCTGCTTCAGTTGAGCTGGCCTCCGCCCCTGGGCTGCTGGAGGCTATATTTTAACCTTCTCTCTGCATCCTCCCCTCCATCCTGCTGGGGCCAGGCAGAGTGAGTTTCTGGGGGCCACAGCACCCACCCAGTGGCTGCCTCTCCCTCTTCCAGGACCTCCTGACCATGAGCTTGCTCTTCTGCTATGGCCTGGCTGCCCCTCCTCAGTGCAGCCGCCACTTACTCATTCAACAGTCACCCAGTGGCCACTGACTCCCTGCCAGGGCCTGGGCTCTGCGTGTGCTCGGGGTAGGAGTAAAAGCAAGAGCTGATCCTCACGAAATCCACTCTGCGGCCTCAGACAGACATCCGCCTTGGGGAGCCTCTGTTCCGAGGTGCAGCTTAGGGATTGCTTTGTCCTGAGTTTCCTGCCCTGTGGAAGCGTCCAGTCACCTGCGGACTGCAGCCCTCCTGTGCCGCAGCTCAGGGGGCCCCGAGGGGCAGGAGGGCAGCCCTGGTGTGAAGTCGGGGCTGGGGTGCAGGAGGAGGGGCCGGGCGGCCAGATGCTTGGACGGAAGGGGCTGCGGAATCTCACACCCTCCCGCCCCTGCCCCTGCTGCGGCCGGCTGGATTCCACCCAGCGTCATTTGTCCCCTGGAGAGGGGAGGGGCTGGGGGCAGGAGCGAGCTCCCCAAGGGCAGGCGGTGGGTGGGGGGGGCTGGGGCGAGGCGGGAGGCGGGGCTGGAGCCAGTGTCCGGCGGAGCACAGATAATTCCTGCCCAGGGGAAGAAGAGGGGGCAGAAGGACGAGACTCGGCGAGCGCTCCGGTCGGGAGTGAGGGGCCGCCGGGGGTGGGCGCGGGCGGAGGACTCGGGAGCCGGCAGGAGAGGCTGGAGGGACCGCGGCCGCGGGGGGACCGTGCCTGGGCTGCTCCCCAGGCCTGGGTCGGCAGAGCCCGCAGTGCCATGGCGCTGGCGACCCCTGGAGCCCTGGCCGCGTCCTCCCCGGAGCCCTGCACGGGGGGCGGCTGCGACTTCGACAGCTACTACGGGGCTGACAACCAGTCGGAGTGCGAGTACGCGGAGTGGAGGTCTTCCGGGGAGCTGCTCCCTGCCATCTACATGCTGGTCTTTTTCCTGGGCACCGCGGGCAACGGCCTGGTGCTGTGGACGGTGTTCCGGAGCGGCCGTGAGAAGCGGCGCTCGGCCGACGTGTTCATCGCCAGCCTGGCGGTGGCCGACCTCGCCTTCGTGGTGACGCTGCCCCTGTGGGCCACCTACACCTACCGGGACTACGACTGGCCCTTCGGCGCCTTCTCCTGCCGGCTCAGCAGCTACCTGGTCTTCGTCAACATGTATGCCAGCGTCTTCTGCCTCACCGGCCTGAGCTTCGACCGCTACCTGGCCATCGTGAGGCCGGTGGCCAGCGCCCGGCTGCGGCTTCGGGTCAGCGGGGCGGTGGCCAGCGCGGTGCTCTGGGTGCTGGCAGCGCTGCTGGCTGTGCCGGTCATGGTGCTGCGCACGACGGGGAGCCCGGACAACGGCACCAGCCTGCAGTGCTACATGAACTACTCCGTGGTGGCCAGCTCGGCCGACTCCGAGTGGGCGTGGGAGGTGGGGCTGGGCGTGTCGTCCACGGCCATGGGCTTCGTGCTCCCCTTCTCCGTCATGCTCACCTGCTACTTCTTCATAGCCAAGACCATCGCCGGCCACTTCCGCAAGGAGCGCGTGGAGGGCCTGCACAAGCGGCGGCGGCTGCTCAGCATCATCGTGGTGCTGGTGGTGACCTTCGCGCTCTGCTGGCTGCCCTACCACCTGGTCAAGACGCTCTATGTGCTGGGCAGTCTGCTGCACTGGCCCTGCGACTTCGACATCTTCCTCATCAACATCTTCCCCTACTGCACCTGCGTCAGCTACGTCAACAGCTGCCTCAACCCTTTCCTCTACGCCTTCTTCGACCCGCGCTTCCGCCAGGCCTGCGCCTCGGTGCTCTGCTGGGGCCAGGCCCCCTGCGGGGTCCCCTTCCACAGCAGCGGCAGCGGGGACAAGTCCGCCAGCTACTCCTCGGGGCATAGCCAGGGCCCGGGGGCCGTCGGGGGCAAGGGCGGGGGGCAGATGCAGGAGAAGTCCGTCCCCTACAGCCAGGAGACCCTCGTGGTGGACTAGCGCTGGGGACACAGGCAGCTGCTGCACCGCCTCCCTCCCAGCTCCCTCCTCCACGCCCACCTTCGCCCTTCCTGCAGGCGGTGTGCAAAATCTCCACAGGCCTCTTAAGCCCCGAGCCTCAGTTTCCCCATCTGCATAAGTAGGGGAGAGTCAGGCCACCCTCCAGGGCTGCGTGGGTCCTGACTCCGCAGTCGGGGCCGCTTTCCTGCCCCTTAGCTCTCTGCCTTCCTTTCTGTCCCTTCCCTTCCTCCTCAGTCCTCACCTTCTAGCTTGGGCCCTTCTCTCCTCGACCCCTCCCCAGGTCCCCTGTTATTCTGGGGTGGGGGTGGGGGGAGCCCTGAGAGCTGAGAAGGAGCCCACAGCCCTGGTGGCAGCAGCTGCAGGGCGCCCCAGGCGGGCTCTGTGTCACCACAGGCTCTGGGGCCCAGGGGATCCAGAAGAGCGCTTCCTGGAGGTGGGTCGCAGTGCCCAGAGGCATTTTCTGCTCGGTCCCCAAGCCCACCCTTGCTCCTCTGCCGCTGAGAGGGAGCCCGGGTGCCGGGGAAGCTGCAGACAGATGGAGGGACGTCCTGGCTCCCTGAGGGGGGCGGTGAGCCGGGAAAGGGGACTGGTGGGGGTCTCTCTCCCCCAGCCCCGTCCCCTACCCCTGGACCGCAAGGCCCTCCCGCCGTCCTGGAGCTGGGGTGTGCCTGGGGGAGGGGCAGGTACCTGGCTGCCCTCAGTCCCGTGAGTGTGTGCGGATCCACATGGCCTCTGAGTGCGTGGTGGGAGATGGCCACGCGCGGGGGCCTGGATGACCCCCCAGGGCCCCCCAGAGAAGGGGGCAGAGGGCACCGCGAGCGCCCCACTGCATGGGGCTGACGGCTGGTCCGTGTCCGTGTCTGTGTCCCGTCTGTGCCGGGCTGCAGTGGGGAGGCCTGGGCTGGGGTCCTAGCAGCTGCTCCTCAGCCCTGCATCCCTCGGGCCCTGCAGCCCCTTCCCCCCAGGCACCTCTCACCCCCTCCTGTTCCTGGGTGGGTCTCTGCAGCTGCTCGCCCAGCACGGAGGTGCAGGCTGGTTAGAGGCCAGCCCTCCTCGGCGCTCTCTCGGCTTGGGAGGGCCCCTGGCTGACGTCCCCACCCAGGGACCTCTCTAGGACAGGGCTGAGCAGGGCCTCTGTGGGGCCGGAGGGTGAGGGTGTGCAGCCTGGGCTTGTCCTTGGGGGCTATGGAAAGGGGGATAAGACAGGAGGACCCCGGCTTGCTGTGCAAGGACACTTTGGCCTCTGGGATGGACCCCTTTCTGCAGCAGAGGCAGGAGGGTCTCCTCAGTTTGGTCTCCTGTCTCGGGCCAGAACTTTCCCCAGAGCCCACAGTGCTGGGGTCCCCTGGAGCCTCCAGGCGGCCACAGATGGCAGAGGAGGTGCTGTCTCTCCTGCACCCCTTCTCCACATGTCCCCGCTAGCCCCAGCCCTGTTAGGCTCTGGCTGCTCCAATAAAGGCGTGTTGTGTAACTGTGTGTAGCTTCTTCTTGCCAAAATGTTGTGGGAGAAGGAAGAGAACTGCAGAGGAGGAGGCAGGCTCTGGGCTGGGCAACAGGAGCCAAAGAGGGAGGAGCTGGGGAACTCCAGAGGAGGGGTGGGCAGTGGGAGAACTCAGGCACCAGGAAAGGGCAGAGGGAAGGAGCCGGGCAGCTCAGGTTTGTGCTCTGAGGCGCACAGAACAAACGGGCCTGTTTCATGGGGTCCAGGGAATGGGTCTGGGGAAAAACAACAGCATTCCTGCCCATGGAAGTACACTAGTGTCCGTCCATCCTTCCTTCCACCCATCCATTCATTTCCCCCTTTATTATCACCTACTCCCATCCATCCATCCATCCATCCATCCATCCATCCATTTATCCCTTTATTATTACCAAGATCCATCCACCCATCCATCTGTCCATCCATCTATCCATCTGCCCATCCATCCATCCATCCACCCATCCACCCATCCGTCTGTCCATCCATTTATCCCTTTATTATTACAAACATTCATCCATCCATCTGCCCATCCACCCACCCATCCACCCACCTGTCCATCCATCCACCCATCCATTCACCCACCCACCTGTCCACCCACCCATCCACCCATCCATCCATCATCTGTCATCTCTATTGATTTGTCATCTCCTGGGCATTCACTCACTCAGTCACTCACTCATTCATTCTCACTTGAGTGTCCACTCAGATTGTCTGGAAGTTGGCATCCCTGCCCTGGGTCAGAGCCACTCTGATGCTTCTGCAGTCTGGTTGGCTGTGTGTGGTGGCCGAGGACTTGTCCTGAGGGGTCAGTGGACAGTGGTGCTGCTGAGTACAGCAGCGAGGGCTCTGGGTGTCACCCTGACCGTGGGCTCAGAGTTTCCCGAACTCAGCCACCGAAAGCTCCCGGATGGTTTCTGGGCGAGGCCAGGCTTCATGGCACTACACAAAGGCTTCCTGGGTCACAGAGGCACCAAGGACCAGAGAGGGCGGGGCGCGGATGGGCATCTGTGTGGGACGAGGGGCTGAGGTGATCCGGGATTGGGGGTGTATGCCACAGTCAGTGAAGCCTGCCGGGAGGGGACACAGAGGCTGTCACCCCGGGGCTGAGTGAGGAGGGGTCACACGGGTGGGCACCCCAAGCTGCTTGGCACTCATCATCCTGCTGTCCTCAGGAGGATCTGTTTCCTGTTCTCACCTCTTCCCTCTCTCCCTTCTCTCTCTCTGTGTCTCTCTTGGTGGGTCCGTCTCTCTCTGTCTCTCTCTCTCTCTGTCTCCCTCTCTCTCTCTCTCTCTCTCTGTCTCTCTCTCTCTCTGTACTGGAGATTGCTCCTAGGGCCTCGCACACGCCAGGCAAGCACAGTACTACTGAGCTATCTCCTCAGCCCTTTTAAATGTAATTCTGAGACAGGATCTGGCTAAATTGCTCAGGCTGGCCTTGAACTCAAGATCCTCTTGTCTCAGCTTCCCAAGTAGCTGGGATCACAGGTGTATGCTACCATACCCACTGGGAGGGAGTGTTTTATTTTTAATCTGGTGACTTCCGGCTTCTCTCACCCTTGAGCTGGAGCTGTCTTCCTTCAAGTCCTCTGCCGGGGGATCCTAGCCCAGGGCTGGGTGTTCTGGACCTGCTCTCTCTGAGCTCGGTGGCAGGAGATGCTACTCAGAGACAGCTGGGTGCCCCGTGACCCACCATGCTCTCCCCAGAGGCCGAGGCCGCCACCTGGCTGACACCCAGGACCACTCTGTCTCAGCCTCGGGGGAGGGGGGCAAGCGGCTTGCAGGGCCTGACCCAGCGGCCTCTGCAGGTCTTCAGAGTGGATTTAGGGAGCGGGGGACTCTAGAAGCTTCCACTTACAGTTAAAGCGTCAGAGCAACACTTGCTCCTGCTTATCTGAGACCTGGTCCATTCCTGGTGCTGTGCCAAGCATAGGCAAGGCTGATAATGTGTAAAGAAAGGAGGTTTACTTAGCTCGCAGCTTGGAGGGCCCTGCGCTGCATCCACCCACAGTGGAGCAGGACAGGAAGTGGCCACACACGGAAGGGACTGCGGGTTGTGGGTCCTCACCGGACCCAGTCTCTCAAGACTCAGCCTGGTCTCCCAGAGGCACCCATCCACCCACCAGCACCCGGGATCTGATCACCCGAGGCTCCGCCTCCTGAGGCCCTGCCTTGAAGGATTAATGTGAGCTGGACACCAGTCCGTGGGCACGACAGGAGGATGTCAACAGAGAACGCGATGGTGGGAAGCACCGGTCCACCGGGGCTTAGTACAGGCACTTGCTCCCACCAGGCTGCACTTAGCCACCCACAGCTCTGGCCACTTTCTGCAGCAGCTCTGCAGTCCTCTTTCCTGAGTCTTTATGAGGTGTGATCAAAAACACAGTGAGGCGGCTGCTGAGCGCCGTCCAGCGGAAAGGCAGCTCATAAACCCCCGGCGCTGAGTCCTCACCCACCTCAGTCCCTGCATCTGGCACCGTGAGGCTTCTGGCTCCTCCCCAGGGTCAAAGTGACCTTGAGATGGAAGTGTCTGGAATCCATTCAGGACACCGAGGCATCCAGGCCAGCACAGCTAAGGACCCTCAGGAGAGAGGATGGGAAAGAGGCACAGTAAAGGCGAGAACAGGTGGTTTTTGTTTCCTGCAGGCAAGTTGATTTCTTCTGAGTCCAGAGTGATGAGGTGAAGAAGGGACCCAGAGAGGCGCATGGGGACACTGGCTCTTAGCCACTGCCCGCCCCCCGGGGTCCTGGTCCTCCCAGAGCTGCCCTGGGGAGCTTGGGGCCAGGACTAGGACAGTTGGACCAGCTGTGGGCCCTTCTGAGGTTCTGCTAGGTGGAGTTTCTCCCATGTGGCTCCGTTGCGAGCAGCTCCCTGTTTATGCCAGAGGTCCTGCTGCAGCCTCTTTGGATGCCTAACGGTGCACAAGGCTGGCCGGCTCCCCGGCAAGGGAGCCGGGGCCAAACGGAGCCTGTGCCTTGTCAACGTTTCTGGGAAGCCGTGGTGGGATGTTCGCTGCCTCGGGGAAGGACTCCTACACTGTGGAGGGGATGCACCAACGGGACAGAAAATAACATCTGGCCTTCCCCGTCTATAAAAATACCCAGGGAAAACTTCCCTTCTGGTCCCTGGACGAGTTGGGCCGGGCTGAAGGGCATCCAGGAGGACTTGGCAGCCCTGATCCTGGGGCTGGAGTAGGTCCAGAGGTGCAGAGGGCTTCCTGTAGGACAGAGAGGGGCAGCCTGTGATGACAGGAGGGGGACGGGTGCCCCGGCAGGTGGCTCCGCGTGGCCTCTGAGGTGGACAGCCCCGCAGTAAGGGGGACCCCTGTGAGCCAGCGGCTGGTGGCTGCCATCCTGTGACCCCAGATTGGAGAGCACAGATGTGGGCCCTGCCCTTAGCAAAGTGGACGCAGCAATTCAATGGTCGTGGGTTACAGGGATGAGACCCGGAAGTTCTCGTGTGTCCCCGGGGCCCGGCTGGATTGTGTGCTGCGCTAGGGACAAGCCACGCAGTGATTACCAAAGGGACTGACTGAAGATCGACGTCGCGGGCTGGAGAGGATTCTGCCGGGAGCTTGAGGCGGCGGAGTGGGCAGGCTCAGAAGAGAAGACAGTGCGAGGAGCCAGGGAGGGTCCCTACCTTCCCGCCTCAGCAGTGCGGAGCAGAGCTCTGGGGTGGCTTGATGGATACCGTTGCTGAGCAGCGGCTGGGTGCCGGCCTGGTTCTGCGATGGCTGTGGAAGGGACTCTCGAGGAGGCATCCCCGGATCTGTCCTCCCCAGGGCCAGGTGCTGGCCTGTGCCGCCCTGTTAAGAGCAGCTGAGGTAGCATTGTGAAGCCCGACTCGGCGCTCAGCGACTGTGCCATCTAGGCTGTCTCCCCCAGCCTCTGTGTGGGGAGGAACGGCTGGGAGTGATATTAAAATACAGGTTCTGGGCCAGGAGCTGGGGGGTACCTGAGTGGCTCTAGGGAGCCCGTCCCTGGGAGAGGCTGGGGCCATGGGGTGCACTCAAGAGCAGAGGCCTGGGCTCAGCTTTCTCCTTTGCCCAGTGGAATCATAAAAGCCACTGCCCGCAGGACCGCCGTGGCGGTTGCAGGAGGTAACACTTGCAAGGGCAGCCGAGCTGCAGCGAGGTCTAGGCAATCGACAGGTTTAATTTCCTCCCATCTTCCATCCATGCCTCTCTCATTCCAAGGACAAGCGAAGGCTGCGTATGGGGGCCGAGGGGCTCTTCGACCAAGAGGGCACGAGGCAGAAGGCGAGCTCGGCCCTGAGTGTGGTGGTAGTGGCTCTTCTTGTTCTTAATCTTGGAGATAACAAAATAAAACTAGAAAAATGGGACAGAAGCTTGCATATAAATTAATCTGGTCAGAAATCTGTTGGGAAAGCAAGATCAAATGTAGTAGCCTGGATAAATAGGTTTGAATTTTAAAATTCCCAATCTCTGTAGTCCTTTAAAGCCTGCACGGGCCTCAGCCCCATTGTCGGGGGTATAGAGAAGGCGGCCTGGTTCAGTCCACGCCTATCCAGAGAGGCCAGCTGTTCTCTCAGCGCTGTCCTCAACTGTGTCCCGAGGAGCTACCCTTGGCGCCTCAGTTTCTCCATCTGTAACATGAACAGATTGGGCGAGATCAGACAGCTACCTCTTTCCTATTAACTTATAAAAAGAAAAGGCGTGGTGGCCCACACCTGTCATCCCAGCACTCTGGGAGGCTGAGGCAGGAAGGTCACAAGTTAGAGAGTTAGAGCTGAAGCAGGAGAGCCCTCAGGGGTCCTGAGAATGGCCCTTCTGTCTGCAGGGCAACTGGGGGATGCAGACAGGAAGCTACAGAGGGAGTGCGTGAGACACTTAGGCAGGCAGGGGTGGGACCCACAGGTCTGCTTTGGCCACAGCGCCAAGCCTGGCTTTATTCTAAGTGCAAGGAGAGGCCTCTGGGAAACCACTCGATCGAGTTTGTGTCTAAAATGATCTCCCGGGCAATGGTGTAGGGAA